ACTCCGTGCGTTCCTGCCGCGGAACCCGGTCAAGGGAACTGACATCCCAGATCATAGGTTGCGACATGGTTTCCAACGTGGAGCTCGATTAGAACTCCCGATGTCTCCACTGAGGACCCATGCCGACCGAACACAACATTCCGATCATATTTCCCCGCACAATTCTCAAACATTAGGCACTAACGATCACATATCACGACATGGCGCCCAACGTGGAGCTCGATTCGAACTTCCGTGGTCTCCACCGAGGGCCCATGCCGTCGTTACCGATCCCATCGATCATATTTCTCGACATGGCGCTCAACGTGGAGCTCTATTCGAACTTCCGAGGTCTCCACCGAGAGCCCATGGCGATTTAACACTACGCAAAGATCATATTCTATGACACGGCGGTTATTTAATGAATAGCGGTCGGACTGCGGACTGGACGTCGAGTGCGCCGCAGCCTGCCGTTCAAAAAGGCCCCTGGCAGGAAATCACGGGGTGCAATGTTGGATTTTTCTTGCGTCCCGTGACATCCCCGGGGTTTCGGAAAAGCATCTCTGAATGTTGATGTTTTTGTTTTTATTCTATCAAGAAAAAATGGTTAAATACATGACAAAATACAGTATATAGAATAATATATATGAAATAGTTGGTACTGAAAAATAGGTTAGTGTATGTTAGAGTGTCTTTGGCACTGGGGGTGGGGGCTGTCCAATGTTGGCTGCTCCGGTAGTCCGGCTGGCGGCTGGTTGGCTCTGCTGGGGGTTGGCCGACGTCCCTGGCCTCTCGTGGGGACGTGGCTGCTGAGTCCTCTTGGTGGGCGGCGGAGAAATAGCGACCATCCTTACTGGACGTCGCTTGCGCCTTATATCAAGGTGTCCGGGAAAATGCTGGGCCGGTCGTTTGATTGGACCGCCTACAGCGGGTGGTGGCTGGCTCAGGGATTTGGTCTCTGCATGTGGCCTAGCATGTACGTGTAGGTCATCCAGACCTTGGTCCTCGGCTTCTGCGGCTTCCGGTGGTGGCATCTCGTCTTCCTCGTCCGAGGAGACGTCATCATTGACTGGATTGCCCGGTAGTGCTGGGCGGAGGTTGTCTACGTGATATGTGATGAGTCTCCCGTCCTTTTCAACCTCGTACAGGACATCGCTTACCACGCGATGGATGCGATGAGGACCTGACCAGGCGATTCCGAAGGGGGTGGGGCGTCTTTGGNAGCATGGCTAGGGCCTGGTGTCGCCTCAGGGTAGGCTATCAGTGGACATGGAGGGCGGTCGTCATCCAGACGTTGGACCCGTCCATGGTCCGTAGGTTGCCGTCCTGGTTAGTTGGTTGGTTTTATTAGCGGGCCGGGGTGGAGACCGTCCTGGTCTTGAGCCCCGTCTTGGGGTGCCGCTGGCTCTATTGGCCGGCCGTGGTGTAGGTCATCTAGACCTTGGTCCTCGGCTTCTGCGGCTTCCGGTGCTGGCACTTTATTGCCGGTAAAAATGCGACCGTTGTTACTGACGACGGCTCTCGGGGTGTCGAATCGCCCTACGACATTTTCATCCAAGAATCTCGTGAATTCTCTGGCTGAGGCGGACCTGACAGCTTTAGCCTCCACCCACTTGGTGCAGAGGACTTCGGCGATGAGAATGAAGCGATTCCCAGCGAGAGACTCGGTGTAGGGACCGAGGACGTCGACGCTGATGGCTTCGAAGGGTACCGTTGATTGATGGGCACGTAGTGGAGCAGCTACTTGGGGTCTGTTAGGCTTCACAGCGGCGTAGATTACGCAGTCCTTTACGTATTGTCCTACGTGTTTGGTCATCCTACGCCAGGGGTACGTTTGCTGGATTTGACGAAGTGTTTCGACGCGTCCTGAATGGGCTTGGGTAGCGACGTCGTGATGGTGGTAGATCACGCGTCTGGCCATACAGCGTGGGACTACCAGGAGCTGCTTATCGCCGTCTCGACGCCAAAGGAGGTTATCTTGGACCAGGTAGTCTTGTAGGAACTGGCGTTCCCTGGCGGACGTGGGTCGGATATTGCGCCATCGCAACTTGTCCTGGGTGACTGTTAGGGACTGGACTTGGGCTGCCTTAACTTGTTGGTACACCTCATCAAAGGTGAGCAGGTTGATGGTAGGAACCTCCATTCGGCCAGGATCGAGCATGGATCTCGGGGTTGTGGTTGGTTCCGGATGCCGACTCAGGAAATCGGGCAGCTCATTATTTTTTCCTGGACAGTGTTCGACGGAAAAGGAATATTCCTGCAGCAGCAGGGACCATCTGGTGAGCTACGTTTTGGCGTCCCGTTGCTTGTTCAGCCAGAGCAAGCAACGATTGTCCATCCGAAGGGTGAAATGGACGTTTGCAAGCAAATGGGAACAGCGTTTGATGGCCCACACGACTGCAAGGGTCTCGATCTCGTTCACGTGATATCGCTTCTCCGTGGTGGTGAGGGAAGCGCTGGCGTGGGATAGGATACGTCGTTGCCCGTCGTCGGTTTCTTGGAAGAGGACGGCACCTATGCCCTCTAGGCTGCCGTCGGTTTGGAGTATAAGTGGCAGCTTCGGATCATGTCGGTGGAGAGTGAGTGGCCTGGCAGTGGCCTGCTTTAAGGTCTCGAAAGCAGCCTGGGTGTCTGCGGTCCAGACAAATTTGATGTCCTTCGTCAGCAGGTTGGTAAGGGGCTGAGTCAGCTGGGCGACGTTAGGGATGTATTCCCGGACCCAGTTGATGGTACCCAAGAAGCTTTGAAGCTGCTTCTTGGTTCGTGGAGCCTCGAACTTCTCCAAGTCCCGAATGTGCTTGGACTGTGGCAGAATTTCCTCTCCGGATATGTGGTGGCCAAGGTAGTCCAGCGTCCGTGTGGCGAAAATACACTTCTCCGCCGATGCCTTGAGGTTGTGGAGTCGCAATCGTTCGAAAACCAACGTCAGATGGTAAATATGTTCCTCCATGGTTCTGCTAAACACCAGGATATCGTCCAGGTAGACCTTTACAAATTTATGCAGAAAGCCAGGGAGGACTTCGTGGGTCATCAGACGCTGGAACGTGGCGGGAGCGCCCTTGAGCCCAAAAGGCATGACGGTAAATTGGTACAACGCCCCATCGGGCGTGGAAAAGGCGGTGAGTGGCATCGTCTCAAGGCTCAGAGGAATCTGCCAGTATCCACTGCGCAGGTCTAACAGGGTGAAGATGGTGGCATCATTGAGGTCCCTCAGGTTGTCGTGAATTTTCGGCAACACTGATGGTTCGTCCTCCGTCAGGGCGTTTAGTTGCCTGTAGTCGACGCAGAAGCGTGGCTTCTTGCCCTCACGTTCGACTATAACAGGCGGAGACGAATAATTGGACTGGGATGGCTCGATAATCCCCTTTTGAAGAAGCTCGTCCACCTGATCATAAAGGATCTGCTTCTTGTGGGCCGACATAGGATATGGCCGCTGATTGACACGCCCAGGTGACTTCAGGGTGACATGGTGTCTTGTCGAAAAGGTGGTTGGTTGGATGGTCGGATTCTCGAAAACGTCTCGCAATTCGAATAACAGCGGTGTTAGGGTATTCGCTGCTTCCAGAGGGATGTCCAGGTTGGCTGGCAGTTCCGCAAGAGGACTGTCCTGAACGGAGGGGGTACGCCAGTACAATGTTTGGCGCTGGTGTCGGCCAAGGTGGATGCAACGGCGTCCGAAATCAATGACAGCACCGGTTTCCCTGAGGAAGGGAATCCCCAAAACGACCTCTTCTCGGATGTCGTCCATGACATGGACAGTGGTGGTGTAAGCGTGTTGGTCGAAAAGGAGGGTCACGGCTTGGGTGCCCTGACTGGTGACGCTAGTGTTACCGCAGGCAAGTTGCACCTGGGTAACATGATCGCCCTTGGTGGCTGTTGGTTGGACAAGATCGGCTCGGACTATGTTGAGGGCGGCTCCAGAATCAATTAGGGCGGTGCATCTCTGACCTTCCAGGTAAACGGTCAGACGTGGCAATTCGGCATTGGCTGGGACGACCACAGTGGTAATGTTGTTGAGATCGCCGACAAGGGCTTCGACATCCATGTTGTCGAATGGGTTTGGTTCGAGGCGATTCGACAATCGGACCTGGATCTGGGAGGCTCACTGCCTCGGTGGATGGGCTGGAGCCCTGGCTCAGGTCTGGCTCGGACCTGCAGCAGGTTGGTTTGGGGCCGGACGGGTACTGGTGCTTGGTTGAGCTTGATTCGTCATCGTAGGGCCGGCCCTGGAAGAGTTTCCCTGCCTCCAGGGGTTGTGGGGGCAGTTAACCTGGCTCCGCAAAAACGGCACGGGCTTGGTGGCTGGCTTGAGTTAGCAGGCCCTGGTGGCCTTGGATTGGTAGGCGCCTGCCTAGGAGGTGGTCCACTGGGCAGGCGTGGACCTGCCGGAGGTTGACTTGCACGCACTGGTGCTGGGGGTCGGTCTCGTAAGTCGAGCTCGATTTGCTCGGCGAACCTGGATAGGTCCTCAAGGTTGTTGAACGATTGCGAACGTAGGTGTACTCGCAACCTTGGATTGAGTAGTTCCATCAGGATATCGATCATGGCTGATTCGGGTAGGTGGGGGTCTACCCTGGCAAACAACGCTCGCTTTTGGATAATAAACAGCGCTGTAGGTTCGTCCTCAAATTGTCTCTGACCATAGAGACGAGCTCGCAGTACTGCTTGTTTCGAAGGATTGTTATACCGCTGCAACAATCGATCCTCGAAGTCACGGAAACCCAAGAGGTATGATTTATAGGGTTCATGCCACTTGGCGGCATCACCTCGCAGCTGCCTTACAGCTAGGTCAGCTTGCTCCTGTTCGTCCTGGATATTGGACTGCCGGAAGTGCTCCCTTAAACGCCTCAGGAAGAAGAGTGGATCATCCTGATCGGCGCCGGAGAAGGTATGGATGAACGTCCTTGGTGGTGGCGTTCGGTTGCCTTGGATGGCTAGGGTCAAAGCCTGCAGAAGCTCGACGGTGCTTGGCGTAGAGCTCTGCGGTGTAGAAGGTCCAGGTTGGGACGGTGGTCCTTGATGCGGGTAACCATGGAAGGACACCTCGCTGTCCAGCAGGGAAGGCCTCAAAGGCACTCGTGGTGGGGTACCAGGTAGGCACGGTGATGGCTCCATGTCGGATGTTTTTTTTTATAAATTTTATTTTTTATTTATTTTTATTTATTTTTTTATTTTATTTTTATTTTTTTTTTGTTGGATTTATTTTATTTTTTTATTTTTTTTTATATTTTATTTTTTTATTTTATTTTTTTCTGTTGGATTTATTTTTATTTTTTATTTTATTTTATTTTTATTTTTTTTATTTTATTTATTTATTTTTTTTTTGATTTATTTTTTTCAAAAATGGTCTTCAGACCTAGGGTGGACCTGGTGGACCTGGAGCGGACCTAGTATGTGCCTGGAGGACCTGGAGCGGACCTGGTGGACCTGTAGTATGCCTGGTGGAGGCTTGGTGGACCCTGATGGACCTGGACTAGACGTAGTGGATCTGGATCGGACCTAGTATGGGCCTGGAGGACCTGGAGCGGACCTGGTGGACCTGGAGTATGCCTGGTGGAGGCTTGGTGGACCCTTGTGGACCTAGGGTGGACGTAGTAGACCTGGAGTAGGCCTAACGTGGACGTAGTGGACCTGGTGGACCTGGATTGGACCTGGTGGAGACCTAGTGGACCTGGACTAGGCCTGGTAGTCGTCGAAGATGCTTCGCTGGGATCGCACAGGCTCCCTTGCCTGTGTAGGTAACCTGGATATCGGTTACTCAAGCCTCACGTGCTGGGCGCCATGTCCACGAACGCGGTGGTTTCGTGAACCGTTGGGGGATTGGGACGTGGTTGGGGGTATCCCTAAGAATCCCCAGAACACGCTGGATGCGTGCAGAAAGCGTTTCTGCACGGCCGCGGCTGCTTCTGCGGATGTCGGGTTCGGCTCGCGTTGTGGAACGATAGGTGTAGGGTTCCCCTTAATTAATAAGTAAAGGGGAACTTGTTACGAATTCTTTTTTCCCTATTTTGTGGAATGGCAGACCAAGCCGTGCCACAAGCTGAGGGGAACAGCTTTAATATACCCCGAAGGGTCGCTGATACTCAGTACTACTACTATTTAAAAATTGGTAGCGATTACTCGTCACTAAAGGAGCGGACAATGAGAGGCTATTCGATTCAAACACTATAATACAAGTGTGAAGACCAACTCAGAGATGCTTCTCGTGTCAAGTCTCGACTGAGAGCGAGCTACCGAGGCAAAACTCGGCTGTCGTCGTACCTCATCCCCCGTTGCTTCACTTACCATTATGTTGCGGCTCTCAGGGTTTCTGGACATGTTAATTGTTTCTCGCGCAATCGCGCTGGACTCGAGATGTAGATAACCTGGTAGGATTGCGCTTAGGCATGGCTAGGTGAGAAGACGCGATCTAATTTTGTAACAACTTGTCTTTCCCTTAGATAAGATGTATGAGAGGTTTGACTCTATCAAAGGGAATTTGGATAGAAATGATATGAGATATAGGATCGGTATTGGAAAGATAGGGGAAAAGTGACTTAACACCAATAATTAGGTAAATTAGGTAGTTTGTATATATAATTCTTATAATTATATATATCTAGAGGTAAAACACTACGTTCATATAGTTCTGATAACTATAGGGGCGGTTTGATGCACTTCACTAGAGCTTATATCTAACACTTATAATAGGGCTGGCTAATGGCCCGTGATTTGAGTCTGCCGCGGGTCAGAAATAAATGCCCGGGCGACATTTTATCTTTCTTTTATAGATAAGTTAGGTTATATATATATTTATTAAACATAAATCTGGCTCTAACAATTGGGTTAAAGATTGCGAAAGGCTCTAATATTGACTATAATGGCTTTAATGTCGCAACTAAAATTTGGAGCGTCCCACAACAGAGACTGGCCGGATACGTCGATCCGGTTAAATAACTGCAAATGCCCGCAGTTGACGGTCCATCGCGATAGGTGATTCGCGGCCTTGATCCGCGGTTGATTCCCGGGTTTTTTCTACGAATTTTCTCCCTCTTCTTGGCCGGTGCTTCCCTGCAAGGCCGGGGACCATTGGAAAGTGGGTCGAATTCTTGACTCCCTGGAAGGTGGCTGCTGGCGCGTTGTCGGCTTCGCATCGGTCGTCCTCGATGTGGCCTAACTCGTCTCCATCACCAGAGGGCGCATTTTTGACGATTTGCGGCTTCTCGCAGGTGGATTGGAAACATCGGTGATTTTTGTAATTCGGCTGGCTTGGCTCAACTGCGGCTCTGCGATGTTGGAAATCTGAAACATAGTCGGTTTTGTTTGTTTCCCTTGGATACTGCTTCATCTTGGTTCGAGGCGGCTGGATGGTAACCGGATTCGAAACCTTGTCGATTTTTTCTCTCTTCGCTCTGGTAGTGATATCGGCTTTGCGAATGGAAGCTTTGTGTAAATTATGGCTTAGGACTTGGTTTGTGTTACTGGACATCGGACTTAGGACGTTGTCCGGGATTCTTGGATTCGGATTGGAAACTTGGGTGAAAATCTTACTTTCTCTCCTGACAGCGGCTTCGGCTTCAGGATTAGAAACATTATGTAAGTTAATGCTTTGCCTTCGATTTCTTATGTTGGAAATCGGGCTTGGAGCTCGGTGCTGGATTTTGAGGTTTGGATTGGAAACATAGGTGAAATTTTTACTTTCTCCTCTGACAACGACTTCGGCTTCGGAGTTAGAAACATTATGCAATTTAATGCTTGTGCTTTGATTTCTTATGCTAGAAATCGGGCTTGGAGTTCGGTGCTGGATTTTGAGGTTTGGATTGGAAACATAGGTGAAATTTTTACTTTCTCCTCCGACAGCGACTTCGGCTTCGGAATTAGAAACATCGTGGAATATGTTTGTTATGGCTTCATGTTCTGCATAGAGAGCTTGCACTGGAGCGCTGTTCCCGGCGTTGGAACTTAGATTCGAAATCTGAAGTCGCTCGCTCACATTATACGACACCTCTCCCCTTTCGTCGAGTGGACTTTGGGTTTCGACGACTTGAATTTGGTCGAATGACTGATTATTGATGACTTGGTATCGGCGACGGTTTCCATCTTCGCCTGCTACCTTGCGGATACGTAATTTGATTGGAGTTGGTGGGGCGGCGTGTACTTCTGCGGTGACTGTGATTTGTTCGGATGCTGAGCCATTATCGTCGTCATCGTCTTCTTCGCTGGAATCGTCTTCTTCCAGCGGAGGGTTCCCTGGCGGTGCCGGTCGAAGTTGATCGACGTGATATTTGAATTGTCTCCCATTCTTGTCTACCTCGTATATTTGTGGCGAGTTTCGGACGGCTATTGGAAACGGTCCTGCCCATGTAGGTGCGAAAGGATCCGTCGGGTTGTGCTCTTTTACCATTACCATGTCACCGACTTGGAAGGTGATGGTAGGGTTATCGTCTCGACGTGGATATGTGCCTTGATTAAAGTTTAATTGTCGAGCGATAATGGTTTGGCGTCTCAACCCCGCGTCTTCTCGGGGTCGCTTTCGTCTTCTTTGAAATTCTGGGATTTCCCAGTCCCCTTGCGCGGCCGCTTCGTAGCCTAGGAGGGCTGTTGCCGGTGATTCCCCTGTAGCCTGGTTCTTGCGTCGGCGCTGTATTGCTAGGGCACGTGGTACTTGTTGATCCCAGTTTCTTCGTCGTTGCTGATTGTGCATGAGGGCTCGCAGAATGGTTTTGAAATCGGCAACTTTTCGTTCGACGGGGTTCTCTCGTTGGAAGTAGATGGCGGTGTGATATGGCTTAATTTGCTTTCGCTGACACATGTTAAGGTATTTCTGGCTTTGGAACACTGTCGCGTTGTCGCAGATGATTACTTTGGGGTCTCCGTATCTTGTGAAGATTTCATCCTCTAGGAATTGGCAAATAGTGGCGGTTTCCGAATTTGCTGTGGGCTTGGCTTCAGTCCATTTAGTGAATAAATCCTCGACGACAAGAACGTATTTGTTATCCCGTGGGGTAACTGGATAGGGTCCTAACACATCTATACTGATTATTTCGAACGTGATTGCGCTGTGTGCGGTTTTTGTGGGGCTTCTTTCTGTATTTGACGGCTCTTTACAGAGTGGCATGGCAAGCATCTGTTGACGTACTCGACGATTTGCTTGCGTAGTCCTTTGGCATGGTATAGTTAAGTAATCTTCCGGTGAGTTTCATGTATACCGGGATGGGCCTCTTCTAGCACGTCGTGATAGGCGTGGATTACTTTTCTCAACTTGCGCTTAGGTACTAATAGTAGGTTATTTTCCCCTTGTAACTTGTATAGATGGTTATTGCGGACGGTGTAGCTGGTATGAAATTTACGTTCGTTGTTGTTCTGAGGACCGTTCATGCGGATGCGGTGCCATTTGAGGATGTCTTGTTGTGTTCTGCGAGAGTGTGCCTGGGAATTCTGGACCTCGCTCGTTATGCGTGATTTGGCAAATGGGCTCGGGTGGCAGCATTCTGGACTCATCCGTCATATCTACGGGATGAGGTTCGCTGGCGTTGCGACTCAGGAAGTCTGCTAGCTGGTTTTCTCGACCTGGACAGTGTTGAACTTCAAAGTTGTACTCTTGTAATAATAGCGACCATCTGGTAAACTTGGCTTTGGTGTCCCTGTTTTTCTCGAGCCAGTATAGCGATCTGCTATCTGTTATGAGGGTGAATTGGCTATCGGCTAGGATGCTTGATATCTCTTGATGCCGAAGATAGCGGCGTAGACCTCTAATTCGTTCACATGGTATTTTTGTTCGGCGGGTGTTGGAGTAGCACTAGCATAGGATACTACTATTAACCTGTCGCCCTCCGATTTCTGAAATAAGATCGCCCCCAGTCCCATTCGGGAGACATCCACTTGTAGGAAGAATCTTTTGCTGAAATCAGGCCTGTGTAACTGAAGCGGCTGCGCTGCGTTGGACTTGAGTTTCTCGAATGCGTCCTGGCATTCTTGAGTCCAGTTGAACCTCTGGTTCTTCTTTAGCAGGCAAGTGAGTGGCTTAGTTAAATGAGCGGCGTCGCGGACGTATTCTCTGATCCAGTTGCATATACCCAAGAAGCTCTGTAACTGACGCTTGGTGTTAGGCTTCGGGAAGTCCTGGATGGCTTGTA